CAGTGGACACTTCAGATGACGATGTGATTGAAGTCAGAGATATGGACGCTAACTTGCGGTCAAAAAAGAAAGACCCAGTGGACTCTTCAGATGACGAGGTAATTAGGGTCCTGGATATGGACGCTAATGTGCGAGCAAGAAAGAAAAAACCAGTGGACACCTCATTACCACCGCTGGAATTTCCGAGTACGTCCCAAGCGGATCAACCAACCAGCACCAAGGAACCAACAAGCGAACAGGGGACAACCGATCCCCAGCCAACATCGGAACCAGTGGTCAGCACAAGGACAAGGATTGATTTAAAGCTGGACAAAATTACAATGCCACACTTCAGCGGTGACCTCACCGAATGGACACAGTTCAAAGAATTTTTCACCATTCTAGTACACAACAACAACGATTTGTCAAATTTGATAAAATTCAACATGCTTCGCACTCACCTACGTGGCGCAGCGTACGACACAATCAGGGGGTACCAATTCTCCAGTACAAACTACAATGTAGCCTGGGGAGATCTGTTGAAGCGATATGATCGCAAGGATGAAATCACTCATGAATACATACGGAAATTCTTCCAAATACCGGCTATCACCCATCGAGCGACGTTCAAATTACTACGAACAATTGTCGATGGCACGAACCAACTTCTCCGCGCATTGCCGGGCTTGGGCGTTCCAGTGGAAAATTGGGATAGCATCGTCGAATTCGTCGTCATGTCAAAGTTGGACGAGGAAACTCGGAGCGATTGGAAACAAAAGGTTGGACGTCGCCAGCACATCCCCATCAACGAACTCTTAGAGTTCATCGAGACCCGAGCAATCGAGATTCAGCCAAACCAGAGTGAGAAGCTGAGCCAAATGCTCCGCCATGGAGGCGGTGGAGGCTGCAGACGCCAAGAACCTCGGAAAATTTTTCAAGTAACCGAGCATAAAGAAGAAAAACCACCGAACAAGCGGGAATGCCCCTTGTGCGGGGGTAACCACAACATATGGCAATGTAATAAGTTCAAAGGGGAATGCGCAAAGGCGAGGACGGAGATCCTGAGAGCATTGAAATCGTGTTTCAAATGCTTACTGAAACACCAGATTGGAGAATGCAACGCTGAGGATTGCGCATATTGTGGTGGGCCCCATCATGTAATGCTGTGCTATAAAAGAGAAAATGATTGGGCCAACAAGGGGGCCAAACCAAAACAAGTCCGGGATCCAAAACTCACTCAGAAGCCGAAAGGAGGCAAGCAGATCCATCATACCCAGTCGAACGCAAGGAATCCGCCACGCGAATCGGATGATTGGGATGAGGACTGGAAGCCAACCGAGATAAAAAACTAGGGAGCCAGGGAGGAGAATTTAGGGAGCAATATGGAATCATCTTGGGAACGGCACGTGTAGAACTTTCAAGTGACTCAGGGATGGTAGTAACGGCAAGGGCACTGTGTGACAATGGATCACAGGTAAATTTAATCACAACTTCTATCGTGCAACAATTACAACTCAAGACGACATCAAGAAAAGTCACGTTCACAGGCATTGGTGGCAATACATTGGGTTCATCGATCGGCGAAGTTAGGTTAAGAATTAAATTAAGGGATGGAGGGTTTTTAACTGAAAAATTTCATGTGGTAAAAAGCATAACCACATATCAGCCGAGGAACACAACTCCTAAATGGAATAATTTGAGCGGAAAACTGGCTGACGAACATTACACACAGCTAGGAAAAATTAATGTCCTTTGCGGGGTTGGATTCTGGGTAAAAATTTTGGAACCTAAGTTACTTAAGTCTAAGAATAATTTGACCATTGCCCAAAAAACCAAATTGGGTTATGTAATTTTTGAATCAGAAAGGGATCCATATGAGAATGAGTCTCCATATATTGGATCCGTATTAGAGAGTAATTCTATTAAAAATTTATTAGACCAAATCAAAAAATTTTGGGAGGTGGAGGAAATTTCTTTGGAAAAGAAAAGAACACTTGAAGAAGAAAAGTGTGAGGAGATCTTCATAAGTGGACATTCACGGGACAAAACAGGGAGATACATAGTGAGAATGCCATTTAATGAAAAAATCGAAAAATTAGGACATTCAAAGAAGAGTGCCCTCCATCAATTTTTCAAAATGGAGTATAAAATGAAGAGGAATACAGAATTCGGGGATAAATATCGATTATTCATGCAAGAGTATGAAGCACTGGGCCATATGCAACGCATATCAGAGAGGGATGAATCTGGTTATTACACCCCACATCATGGCGTTCTATCGTCGGAAAAATTTCGCGTAGTATTTAACGCATCATCCAAGACGTCAACGGGAGTTACTTTAAACGAGTGTCAATTAACCGGAGAAAAATTGCAACCAGACCTACAAATGATCCTGGTAAACTTTAGAAAGTATCGATATGGTGTTACGGCCGATATCGAAAAGATGTACAGACAAATCCTAATGCATCCAGATGACAGGAAGTACCAAAAGATCCTCTGGAGAGCAAAGGAAGGAGATCCAATTGGCGTATTCGAACTGAAGACAGTAACTTATGGACATACATGTGCACCTCACTGTGCAATTCGAACATTGATGCAATGCGCAATTGATCATGAGGCAAAATATCCAAGGGCTGCAAAAATAGTTAAAACGTGTTTTTATGTCGACGACCTTCTGGCTGGCGGAGACACCCTGGACGAAGTGAGGGACATTAAAAATGAAGTAACCGCACTACTGGGATTGGGCAAATTACCAATAACAAAATGGAAAACAAATGGAAAATTTGAGGAGAAACTCGAAATCAAGGAGAAAGACCAATCATCAGTACTGGGTCTGTACTGGGATATGAAAACGGATCGATTTTCTTTCAAATTTAAAGAAGAAAAGGAGGAAGAGTTAATATGGACCAAGCGAAAAATATTATCAACTATAGGGAAGCTGTATGATCCAAATGGCTATCTCGGTCCAGTCATTATGAGAGGAAAGATGATAATACAACAGTTATGGGCTGATAAAATGGATTGGGATATGCAAATTACAGGAGAAATTGAAAAAAGTTGGAAACTATTTAACAATGATCTGAAGAACGTAAACTTAATATCGATTAATCGATGGCTGCAAACTACCAACCCAGGAAAATTGGAGCTGCATGGATTCTGTGATGCTTCAGAGAGGGGATATGGAGTAGTAATTTATGTTCGAACAAAAGGAAGGGAAAACTTTCAAACAGAACTTTTAATTTCGAAATCAAGGGTAGCCCCATTAAAAACATTATCCATCCCGCGTTTAGAATTATGCGCAGCTAGCATATTAATGAATGCAATGGAAATGATTTATCCCATTTTTAAAGGGGACGTAAGGGAGATTTACTGCTACACGGACTCGATGATAACGTTGCAGTGGGTTAAAAAGGAACCCTCATCACTTAAAACTTTCGTCGCCAATAGAGTCGCGAATATTCAAAATACAACCAGGAACCTGAAAATTAATTGGAATTGGGTAAAGGGACAGGAAAATCCAGCGGATTTAATATCACGGGGGACAACGGTTCTGGAGTTAAGGGATGAGAAGAAATGGTGGAGGGGTCCAGATTGGCTGACTGAGGCCAAAGAGAAGTGGCCTGAGCAACCAGAAATATTAATTAAAAATGGAATTGAAGAGTTTCAGAAGGAGTTCAAAACCATTCATTTCATCGAAACCGAGAAACATAGTGAGTTAACTAAGGGGAAATGGTTTAAATTCAAAACATACAGCCAAAAGGATTTTTCACTATTGGATTCTTATAGTGAAATGAAAACATTACGACGAGTGACTGCGACAGTCTTTCAAGCGATTGATAAGTTCAAAAACCCAAAAATAAATCAATTTGGACTGGACTTAAACAGGGCTGAAAAATATTTGATTCAAATCGACCAGCAGAG